TCTCTCTCTCTCTCTCTCTCTCTCTCTCTCTCTCTCTCTCTCTCTCTCTCTCTCCCTCCTCCTCTAGCCCTAATAACTAATAATATAAGTAATTACACCAATTCTAGAACAGAACCAAAAGCTCCAAATAGATGAATCTCTATCCAGCCATCTATTCATATCAATCTATCCATCCATCCTACCATCCATATTTCCATTTTCTATCCATCTTTCTATCTTTCCATCTGGCCACTCATCCACTCATTCTTCTACCTGTCTATCTTTCTTTAGACCTACCCTTTCATCCTTTCATCTGTCCACTTCTCCATCCATTTGTCCATAATCTACCCTTCCAGCATCTCTCCTTCCATTCATTCATCTTTTTGTGCGCATATCTTCTCATCTATCCATTTTCCATCCGTACATCTTCTCACCTGTCCATCTTTCATTATCAATATTTCCATCATCCACGTTTCATCTATCCTTTCATTTTTTTATCCATTCACCACTTTTTTTGCCTAACAAATACTGTGAGGATCTAGTGTATAGGATGCTGGGGGTACAAGAATGACAGGATATGTCTCTCTATCCATGGAGCTTACAACCCAGTACTGGAGAGAAATAGACAGTAAACAAGGCAATGAATAAATGAACATGATTTCACATGGAGATATGCATGTAAAGACAATAAAAAGTGACAATATATTATAAGGACCCAGAAGGAGAAGAGATAACTACTTTAGATTGGGCCATCAGGGAAGGCCTTTCTGAGAGAATGTTCAAAGTGGTCAGCCAAGTAATAAAGGGCAAACCATCCCTACCTCTACAGGACAGCAAGTACAAAGGCCCTAGGGCAGGAAAGAACTAGTTTAGCATGGCAGCACACAGAAAGAATGTGAGTTCATCAAATAACCATGAGCAGTCAGAGAAGATGAGAGGTAGCAAGCTCAAGTTTTAAAAGACTACTCAGGCTTCTGAGAAAGTGGATTGTAGACAGTCAGGAAAGAATGCACAGAGGTCAGTTAGGAGATGGTTGCAGTAGTTCTGTAACTACTGTCATCTCATAAGAGATGACAGTGGCTTGTGTAAAGGATAGCAGAGAGAGAAGAGAAAAGTGATAGTGATGATATGTTTTGGTGATGGATCCAACAAACTCTGCTAGTGAATTGGCTACAGGAATAAGAGATAAATGATAGATAGATAGATAATAGATTAATAGATAGATAGGTAGATAGATAGATGATAGATGGAAAAATAGATAGATATATGATAGATAAGATCAGGAGAGAAAGAAGTATAGTGAGTGGTAGGTGGAAATCAAGAGTTCTGTTAGACCATATTACGATGGAGATACCTACTAAATACCCAGTTTAATAGTTCAGTAATCACATGCTACATTTTTGAAGTCAGAAAAGAATCTCGATTATACTATAAGTTTCAGCCATTGGATAAAGCTATTGTTTTATGCCAAGGGATTAGACAGTTCATTTGAAAGAGACTGTGGATGGAAATTCACAGAAGGCTCTCATACCAAACTCGATTCTTCAACATAATTTAACAGAGAAGCAATCAGCAAAGACAGTAAGTAGAATGGACAAGTAAGTTACAAGCAAACCAGGAGATTGGGCACTGCAGAGCCCAAAGGCATGCGTTGCTCTGAGGGAGCGATGATTTGGAGGTTGAAGGAGTTGTGCATATAGAAATGACCACTGTAGCAACCAGGTTAGAGATCGTGGGGGTTTGCTTGGGTTGGCATTGGCCTAATTGGCAGAGGGTGACAAGGTGAAGGCAGACTGTGAGAGAGAGAAAGTTGCGGGTGGCTAGAGAAGGACGAGGGTAGGAAAAGAATTTATTAAAGATGGAATATAGCAGAGTGTGTTTTTGTGCTAAAGGGATGAGCTAGAAAGGGAGAAGAAAAGAGAGAGTAAGTGTAAGGATCGAATAGGAAGGAAAGTAGGGTGGGACGCAGAGCAAAGAGAACAGGGTGCCCTTCATAGGTCCACGGACATTCATCCTGCACGGCTGCAGGCAGATTGACAGATCTGTAGTGGGAAGAAGCCACACCCAAAAGTGTATTACCTCCCCAGCCCCATACCCTCCTCGTGCTTCCCTGTGACGAAAGAAAACAGGTACTCAGGGTGCGCTGGATGAATGAATGAGTGCAGGGGTAAGTATATGCATGGACGAGTGACAAAATGAGAGGGCAAATATGTTCAGTATTTTCCATCTTTCTCTTCCCTGAGAGCTTGCACTGCTCAGCACCGGACAGAGCGCGGTGTGGCATGGGCACGGGTGGGGCCCCAGCTGTGTAGCCAGTGTAGACTTCCTCCAAGTGAGCACTGAAACGGGGAGATGCAGAGTAGCCCAGCAGTCAGCAGGGGGTTGTTGACACTGAGGGCCCGAAGAGACCCACTGGTGTAGGAGCAGTGGCCTTGGGCAAATGTCCTTCTTTCTCTGCATAGCAGTCCCTTCATCGTAGAGGTAAATGATTGGGTTAGATTATTTTTTAGTTTTCTTCCACTCACACCTCCTTGCTTCTCTGCTTTTTTCCTCTCTTCCTTCTTTTATTCACTCTGTGTTTGGCTTAGTCCCTGCCCTGGAGAGCTGACCATATTCTTACTGCGAGCTTGCTGCCTATCACTGGCCCACTAGACAAGGATCGGGTCCAGTAGCCTCTGTCTTCTGCTTTACGCTCTCCTTGATTCCACTCTTCTTATACAAATGCTATTTCTCTGCAAAGCATCAGCCCCTATGGGTCCTAACAGTGGCATGAGACTGGTTGTATGACTGATTTGAGTCTCCACTGAACTCTATTTTAGAACCTGTTTTATGGAATAGTAAGTAGTAAGCTATCATCGCTGAGTGCTTCTTATATTCTGAGTACAGTGCTAAGCATTTAATATGTGATCTTATTTAACTCTCACTAAATTCTATGAAGCAAGGATGATAATTTTGCCCAATGTGACAGATGAGGAAACCAAGGCTTGAAGAAGCTAAGTGACTTATTCATGTTTACACAGCCAGGAAGTAGGAAATGGGGATTTTACTTCCAGCAGGCAGGCTCTAGAGGCAAGAATTTCCACTCTGAAGAGGCTGGGAAGGAGACAAGGAGCCACACTGAAGATACTTAGTTCATTAGCACAGGTATATTTCTGTGGACACACTTTGGATCTTGAGGTGGGCAGAAACCTGGCTTTGTAAACAAAATCATCTCATAGATGCATTAAGGAATTATCTGGAATTTAAGGTTAAAAGGTCTAAGGTCAAGTTCTGCCCCATCATTGAGACAAACGACTTCATTGTGCTGCATTTCAATTTCTTATTTTATAAACAGGCAGTGTGCATGATTAGGAGTGGCAGGGTGAGCTGTGAACCCAAGACCAAGCTCCAGTAATGGCTGTGTTGTTCAGCTTAACTTTGTGGCTGTGACAGAAAGGAATTCTTAAGCAATTTCTTTGGTAAATAAATCCTTTGGGAAAACCAAATAAGAAAGAAATCACAATTTGATTCACTTTGTGTAAATGCATGCACTGAGTTTGCTTAAAGTGGCAACAGATGCTCAGAGGTAGTCCCAGAACACAGCCTCCCCGAGAGGTTGAGGCCTTCCGGGGTCCTCTCTCCTCTCCTCAATCCTCAGCTCCCCCTCCACCTATACACACAAGTACCCTCAACAAATTTATACCTAGGGAGACTGCAAAGTTCTTATAGACCAGTTCTTCTTTGGCCGCTACACCCCATGCCTGTGCCATGGGCCCCTGCAGACAGCCCCTTCTGCAGAAGGTTCAGCAGCAGGAGAAGCAGGCTTAGCATCTAGGCCCTAGAGTCATAGCACAGCCTCCATTCTGCACCCAGCCTTCCAGCTTCATGAGCTTCTGCAGATCCCACATCCTCAATTCTTTACCTGGAAATCGGGATGATAACATCCCTGTCCTGGGGCTCCTTTAAGGAGCCAGGTCAGTGCCTCCAGTGCCTGGAGAAAGGGCGTGGCCCTGAGTGAACCAGGCTATGGTGTCCAAAGGATGATGGAGGGTGCCCCTTCCAGGCCTGCCGATCCCTAGCCTCGCCACAGTGGGCCCTGCAGACCCTTCTTCCACACCCCTACGCTACAGTGGTGCCACAACCTTATAAACCTCTCACTTATGTGCCTCCAACAGGAAGTGAATACACTGGCAATGCCTACAGCCACACCCCCTACTCCTCCTACAGCGAGGCCTGGCGCTTCCCCAACTCCAGCTTGCTGAGTAAGTCCCTGGGTGCCCAGGCCTTCTGCCGGGCAGGCAGCATGGGTGGGAGGCCAGGCCAAGCCAAAAGCTGTCTGGGAGGTTTGCAGGGAGGAGTGTGTTTTACAATGGGGATGAGTAGCAAGGACGCAGTGTATCTGGCTGCTGAGGGGCTGGAGGAAGAGGGCAGAAGACCAGAAACTTCCTGACTTTATCTCCCTCCTGCTCCCCAAGGCCAAGTCCGTTAAATCTTTGTTTTGCTTAAGACTTAGGCTCTGGCCTGGAGAGAAGGGCAGAGGTAGGCTGGAAAAGTGGGGGATGGGGTGGATTAGGGCCCCGAGGCAGCAGAACTGACTCCTGCAGGCACCCACTGCCCTCCTTCCTGGGAACTGCCCCCATTAACTGTAGAAGTGGGTCACAAACAGTCGTGATTCAGCACTAAAGCCTTTACACAGAAATCCTTGTTCCACCAAGTTCTCGGTGGAACTTGGCTTGAGAAGTGAAGCGCACTCAGGGTCAAGGTGCAGAACAGAGTGAGGCTACTGCTTCAGGAAACCAAGCCCACAAACAGCGAGCTTGAGGGATCCCACTGGAGCCTCCCTGAGTGGTGGCTAGGGGGTGTCAAAGCAAACCTGAGCCGGACAGCAGTGGTTCCAGGGTAGCCAGCCTCACCAGCCCATCCATTCCCTCTCCTGCTACTACCCCTTGGCATTTCTGGCATTACACGAGCTGGGCTCTGTGGCCATGTGCTCAATCCCAAGGCACTTCTGTTCAGTCTAGCTACAAAGGACTAGGGCAATGAGATGCTGTGGGGGTCAGGACACCTTCCTGCTCACCCTGGCCAGGCTGCCCACCCACACGGGTATCCCAGGCACAGACCTCCTTTACTAATTGAGAGTCTGAACCCTCTGGATGTCCAGAGGCAGATTCTCTGACCTGTGGCTCTTTGGGCCAGACTGGGGAGGGTCCCGATGCCCAGTCTACCAGTGTGCCCGATTCTTGGGATTCCACAGACAAGTGCTCGCCATTGCTCTCTCCCTGCAGGGAGGGTGCTGAAGGTCAAAGCAGTCAAGGGGGAGGGGGCACGAAGCCACCATTCTTATTCCAGACAGAAACTCAAAGGTGAGGCCAGAGAACGTGGAAGCAGAGCTGGAGAGGAGTTAATCTTTGATGATCAGATAGGCCAGGGGGATAAATGATTAACTGGAGCTGTCTTAAAGGTCAGCAGATGCAGGGAAGGCTCTGCGGCCACTTCCCCTCTGACCAGCACTGTTGTTGTTATTTTTTTTTTAACGTGTCCAGGTTCCCCATATTATTACAGTTCCACATCAAGGCCGAGCGCACCGCCCACCACCGCCACGGCCTTTGACCATCTGTAGTTGCTATGGGGATGCTGGGAGTGACCAGGCAACAGGAGGACTCAGCCTGGGACAGGCTCCAGAGAGTCATACAAAGGAATCTTTATTTATTACATGAAAAATAACCACAATTCCAGCATCGCGGCTCACTCCCTGTGTGGCTAATTTAATGAATTATGAAAGACAGGATGACCTTGGAGAAGGCCAAAATGTCTTCCAAGACTCCTTGAAGAGGGACAGGAGTCCCAGGGGAAGCGAATCACTCCATTCCAAAAGTGACAGAAGTGGAGGAGAAACGTGCCTGGGCTGATTCCCACCCAAAGAGAGAAGAGGAAGCCATGAGGAGCTGGAGGGAGGTGACAGATGGGGCCTGCTTGGCCCAAGGGTACACAAGGACCACTTGCGTGGCTCTGCCATCCACTCGACTCCAGCAGTTGTGCTCTGTACGCAGGTCCTTCCGGCCCACGGGGCACAGCCTGTGGCAAGGCTCTCCCCGTCGGCCATCCTGAGAATCACCTCCTTCGGTCTCCTGCCATCTGCTGTCCAGCTCGCTTGGCTCTTCCTACACTTTCCTTCCGAGCATGGGCTGAAGGCTGGGCGAGTAGACCAGAATTCCACCAGCTGACCTCCCTTTCCCTGCTGCTGTCAGTGTACAAGTACCACCCCAGCTGCTCCTACAGCGGCTCAGCTCTTGGGCAGCTGCCATCAGCCAGAAAGCAACTGGAGACAGACACCCCAAAGGGCCCTGGCCCCTGGGGGTGAGGTGCAGCTCCGCCCAGGGCAGGCGCAGGCACAAAGGCAGAGAGAGACCCAATCCCTTCCCAACAGCTCCTGCCAAGCCGAGGGTCTCCTGCACTCCGGCCCACGCAGACACCAAGGAGACCCCGAAGCACCCCCTGAAGCCAGCAAGGAGGGTCCCTGTCTGGCCCCCGCAGTTCCTGCCCACAACATCTGACTGTAAATACTGTAAATGAAGTTCTATTTGGGCCGAGCTTCCCTCTTTCCACCCCCTCCTTTGGCCTCTGAGTGAATTGTCTCCCCACCATGTTGGGCTTCTCTCCTTGACGCTTCTTTCTTTTTTAAGGACAACCCACCATTACCACATGACTCAATAAACCATTGCTCTTCTTCTTAGGCTTTGCGTTCGGCTGGGGTAGGGGGCCTTTGGGGTTGGCTGATAAGCTCACTTTGGGGCTGTGGGTTGGGAAGGACTATCTAACGTCCCTGCACCCTGATTTAGCATTCTCCCACCAATCCGGATGTACTATGCTGAGTAAATCAGTTCTTCTGAGGGTTGAGTTCTACTCTTGAGTAAATGGGAGGATCCAACAAGCTCGTGGCATGGTTCAGGTCAGTCATGTGCTCCTCACAGGCAGCTGCTGTGGGTATCAACAGGAAGCCAGAGAATCAGCAGAGAAGCTGTCATAATCATCTCCATGGGCCCCATGGTGACGCAGTAAGGAAGGGAGAACCCTGTGCTCGCCTGTGTGCCAGGCACAGTGTGGTGGGCATCGTGAAAATGAAGTGGGGAGGAGCCCCCTTTTACATAGGTGGAAACTGAGACTTAGAAAAAAAAGAAAATAGCTGTCCAAGGTGAAAGTAGGGGGATCAACCAAATTTTCCTACCCTAAGTCAAGCACTTTGTGTGTGTGTGTGTGTGTGTGTGTGTGTATGTGTGTGTGTGCACATGCACGTGTGTGTGTGCATGCACGCATGTGTGTGGTACTGGGAATTGAGCCCAGGACCTGAGCTACACTAAACTACAGCCCCAGCCCCTTTTTAAAACTTTGAGACAGTGTCTCCACCCATGCTGGATTCAAACTTACAATTTTTCTGCCTCAGCCTCTTAAAGCGCTGGGTTTGCAAGCATGCATCACCATGTCGGAAAAAGTCAAGCACTTTGCCTCAGTACCACAGGGCCTTCATCACGATGCCACAGGGCTCTAGACCAGAGGCGTTGGAGGACTGGTCCAGAGGATCTAGTTTCTTTTCATTCAGTTCTAAAGATTTGACTTGACTGAGCAATGGAGAGGTACAGGGCGAAGGGCCAAAGGGGGCAAGGGAGACTTCAAGTGCCCAAGACTACCCCTGTCCGGGAAGCCTGGGAGAAGAGGAGGAGGCACAAGGTGACATGAGGTGTCTGGCCCTGCAGGGGCCGTCACGTATCTGCATAGACGCTTCTCTCCATGTGGAGCTCAGCAGGAACAAAGAGGCAGGGCTGAGTCAGACGCAAGGAGGAGGGTCCCTGAGCCCACCCAGGGCCTCCTAGGCAGGGAGGGCGGAGGAGAGGAACAGGACTGTGACCTCTATAGGGCTCCGAAAGGAGAGGCCAGGTGGGCCAGGTGGGGCAGGAGAATAGTGTGAGGAGCGGAACCCTCCGGTGAAGAAAACCTGTCCCTGTCTCTTCAGAGGGGACCTGCCATGAGGTTCTTTTTTCTTTTATTAGTACATGCTTGCAGTACGTAATGATTACATTCATGGTGGGGAGTCGGCGCGTGTACAGAACACATCTTAATTCTTTTTACATCCCTTTCCACTCCCTCCTCTCCTGAGGCTTATTTTTTAGTGACAGGGCTTCCCTCAAGCTGTAAGCTTGGCAGCAGGACTCTCAGCCCATGGTAGCGGAGGGTCTTCATGACCTGAACCTTGGCTCCTGAGTACCCTACGACAAACCCCACCCAAGAGTCCCTCTGAGGTCTGTAATGTCCCCAGGAGCCCACAGAGTGACCCTTTTCTGCATGCACAGCCAAAACCTCTCTGGGGACACTGGTCTCCAAATCCCCAGTGACGAAGGGGCTTGGCCTGCACTTTTACTGCGGTGATCTTGGCACAAAACCCCCCTTCCTTTCTCTAAGCTGAACTGGGCGTCTCGCGACATCCGGCTGAGAGTGGGTGTTTGGTGACTGTGGTCCACTACCTCCCCGGGTATTCTATCCAAAGTCAAACTGCAGGCACCCTTGGGGACTCAGAAAATGTTGTCATTCACATATTGGATGCAAATACCTTGGCACTGAGGATGGCATGGTGTTGGAAGTCGGGTGGCACAGCAGAGGGCACAATGAAGGATGTGAGGACAAGGACAGGGAGGACACAGAGGAGGCTGCCGGAGCTGAGAAGCATGTTCCCCTGGGGAATGAGGAAAGTACCCAGGGGTGACTAAAGAGGAGGCTGATCTACCATGCAGGGGAGTCGGGCCCCCATGTGTGCGGGTGCATGGGGTGGTGGGAGGACTGGGGCTGAGGTGGGGCCGGGGACTTTCCCAGAACCCCAATTGTGCGTGGGCAATCCCTGTCACTGCCCATGTGAGCAGGCCTCATCTGCTGTCCAGACAGCTCCTCCTGGTCCATGCTCCCCCACCCCTCCATCCTCCCTGCCTCCTTGCCTGTCCAGGCCAGCCCAGGGTGCAGGAGCTTTCTGGAAACCCGAGGGAATAAAGCAGTGCTAAAGGGCAGCCACTGGGTTTCTTTCTGGAAGGCAGAAGAGCTGCAGCTCGGCCTGGGCTCACCAGGAGGGCCGAGCTGCCCTGCCCTGGCCCCTACCCTGAACCTCCAAGGGTAGGAGGAGCTGGGGGTCTGTCCCCAAGGCCCACAGGCTGGACTGAACTTCTCCCTTTTCCCTCACCTTCCCTCACATCTCCAAAGTTCTTGTCCTGGGTTGTGAAACACATATGTTCTGCCCACTCTGTCAGGCATGCACTCAGCCCTCACGACAAGCTCAGGCAAGGGCAGTCAGTGGCCATAGTCCACACATCCCAAAGCAGGAGCCAGGGAGGCAAGAAACCAGCTGAGGTTTCCCCACTCTCACCTGCCTCCCTCATCCTCCCGCTTCCATCCCCCCAAAGCACACACCTTTCCCACCTCTATCAGCTCCGGCCTTCTTTCTGATTATTCCCCTGAGCGGGGACAGGGGCCTCCTCACCCACGTCAGTGGTCTATGCCTCGGCACCAGCTCATCAGTGAGAGGCAAGGGGAAGCCCGCGGCCCCCTCTCTCCACGCCAGCTCACCGATACCCACTGTGGTGTTCGATTCTGAACACTGGCCTTATTTTGCACTTGGGGAAACAGAGCGAGAGACGACTGGCAAGGTCGTTCAGCTAGGTCAACAAAGGGGCCCAACCGCTAACCAGAGGTCTCATCTGCATCCGGTCCCAGCCCTCGGAGGCCTGGATGTGGCCAGCCTTCTGGGAGACCGCAGGCCCCGTCTGCATTGTAGGGAGGCACAGAGGTAACTTGGCCCATGAGGACAGGGCCACACACTCCGGACTTGGGCAGTAGCCTAGACGAAAGATGCCGAGAGCAGAAGGAGCGCTGGGCAGGGTGGCGCTGTGCAGGCTGGGCCCTCCACGGCCTGCCCAGGCGGCTCAGCAACCCCAAAGGGTCAGAGAGGTCCTTTCTGTGGGGGGTTGACTGCGCCTCTGTGACCACATCCTGACCCCCAGGGACTGGGATGACCGTGGCCGCTGAAAGCCACCTCCTTTTCCCTCCTCTTTCCCCTTTCTTTATTCACACGCCTTCGTTCTTCTACTGCCTCTCCTGCTGAGTTAGAAGCATTATTCCTTGCCCCATCTCCTGACCCACCTTTCTGTGTCCAGGCCTCTGGAGCCTGAGAGAGAAAGTGAGAGCTCGGGAAGGGCTTGGAGGCCCGAGGTGCTCCGAAGGCCCGCAGCCTTCTCCTGCTGCTGTCTCTACTCTTTGGCCTCTGGCTCTGCTCGTTGCTCTCTTCTTTTCCTTGGGGATCTCTGGGACCCAGACCTTGGAAGTCGGTATCTGCAAGATGGTACACCCGTGTCCCCAGGGTTTCCGGCTCACAAAATCGAGCACAGACCTGTCATTCGTCTTTCACCACACCTCCTGCCGGTTGGCTCTTCCGGGAAGATACTGGAGGGGGCCAGAGGTGGGGACAGGCGTTACCTTCCCTTCTGGGTTCCCCAACCCCACCCCTTCGTCCTACTCTTGGGCAGCGGCTCAGGCTAAGGGACGAACGGATGGTGGTGGTGAAGCTTCCAGAGCCCAGCGAGGGCCAGGGGGGGCTCCGGTGGGTGGGAGGCTGCGGGGCGGGGGAGATGCCCGGCTCCCCCACATCTGTGCCCTGTGGCAGCGGGCCAGGCTGGGGAGTGAAGCGCTGCCTGCGGCGCTCCCAGGGAAATGTGATTTCCCTTGAGTGAAGCGGACTGTGCAGTGTGGAAATTGGCTCTTTTCTGAGCGAGCAGCCGCTGTTGCTGTGGAGTCGGGCGGGCTGGGGCCCGCGGGAGGCCGCGCTGGCCCCTGGAGTGAGCCGGGAGCAGCCATGTGCTGAGAACTCATTAGGGATAAATCAAACTAGTAACAGCATGAAGCCAACACCCTCCCCCTCATCACGCCTCCCTTCCCACCCCCTGCAAGACACCCCTCCTCCTCCACAGTGCTCCTCTCCCATCGGACTCCCTCCTGCCTTCCTCCCGGCCAGGGCGCCCTCCTACCAGCTCCAAGAGCCCGATCCCTCCCTCAGGGCCCAAGTCCAGGGCTGGGTGCGCACCCAGAGCCACCCACCTGCTGCCCGAACCCCGGGAGCCACCCTAGGTGAGAAACATGCTCACCCACAAGCAGGGCTGGTCTGGTTTGCGTCCTAGTTCTGTGGTTTCTGGGTGGAGGTGGTGGCACTGGTGGGGCCTCAGTAGGAGCACAGGCTGGGGCTCACGTTCTGGGTCCCCTCGGCTTCCCGTCGCCCATGTAGCCACCCGCCCTGCCTCTTCACCCCTTATGCTGGCTTCCTGGGAGTGGAAGCTCTCAGCTCCGAGCAGCATCAGGTTCCCCATCTGTGTCCCTCTGAGGGGAGGAGACATAGAGCAGCAGGGAAGAGATTTCCCTAGAATGACAGGCTTGGTGGACATGGAGATGCATTTCCAGCAAAGGAGAAAAGGAGGGAAGAGGGGGAGGGGTGACGGTGGGCCAAGGCCTCCTCCAGCTCTGGCTGGGTGTGAGCTGAGGCCAGGGTGAAGCCATTTCTCCCCAGAAAGCACCCTCCTCACTGATCCAGGGACAGGGTCTTCCATGGCTGCTATTCTAGGGGCTGGACTTTGGGTGTCACTGGAACCTGTTGGTCACCGTCACAATGCCAAGGACCCTGGTCATCACCTTTGTCTGCCCTCTTGGCTG